ATGAACATTGCTGAGGTCAAAAAAGTTTGGAAAAAAAAGCAAAAAGTATTAGTAAACATTTTAATTTTTAAAAATGTTAGAGTTATTTAAACTTTTGAATTATCCTTCTCATCTCAATAGTAATCTATGAGCCAAACTTGAGCAATAATTCAACTGAATAAGACATTATAATCTCAACCAAAAGACTCGAAGGACCGAATTCCCAACTTTACATAGGGTTGAACTAGAAAATAAATAAATAAACAAACAAAAAGAATGAAACATTAATATAATATAATAGTGTAACTCTATCATCAATATAACACTTTGTTGAAAAATTGTCACAAAACCTATCATTGTCAAACTTTTCCTGACAAATTATAACTTTTGTCCAACACTATTTGTGATATGAATATTGTCATAGTTCAGAAATTTATGACACTCAGGAAACTACCTTACAAAATTTGAAGTCACGGTATTATTTTTCATAATTGTTAAAAACTGCTGTTATTAAGTTTCAATGACATTTTTTAATTGCCGCTATAAATAGTTTCGTGACAGTTGTCGTTAATATACATTTCATGACAATTATAAACTATCGTCATTAAATTTTTCTTGACAAACTTTTAATTATGGTGGAAGATTCATTCGTAACAAATTTTAACTGTCTTTATCAATGCGTTACTAAAAAAATTTTAAAAAACTGTCATGATCTCTCTTATCAAGAAAGTTATATAGAAATTGAGTTAATGACAACTTTAAACTGTCATTCAACTTCATATTTATAGTAGTGTGATTACAAATTTGGATGAAGGAGTAAAGTATAATTCAAATAAAAATTAGACTAAAATAAACATATAGAGATTTTGATATTTATATATAATTGGGAAATTTCACTTTCAAATCCATCAAATTGCGGTGGGTTGAAATATTTGACTGATATATATATATATATTAATGTCGCATTTATTATTCCTGCTGCCATAATTATTTATTTGTATCCACACCCATTTTTCTTCATTTGTCAATGTCTAAACTAACTATACTTATAGATTAATTATTTGAATTAACTCAGAAGAAGTCAATCTGAACCCTAATTCAACTAGTTAAAACTTTGATATGGTTGTATAAGTTTGCTAATTAATCTCAAGAAAGTTGAGTTCTTTTGATGTTTATACACTTCCATAAATCACTATATTTACATTTTACAAAATCCTAACTTTTTCCCGTCGAAGTCCAAACAAATTCAAATTTTCAAGCTCATAATTATTTTTTATTTTATTTTTTTAGTACAATTATTTTTGGAATATAGTGATTGAACCTCCGACTTCGAAAAATGAGTATATGACAATTATCTCTCAACTATGCTCGTGTTGACAACTCATTATTAAAAGTGAATTTAACATTTAATATTCGCCTCTCCTATAATACACTTCTACAAATCATAAATCTACAAACCAAATAATACCCCATATATAACTTGAGCCAAAATCTACAAAGCTGTGATTTCAAGTCGGGAGAGAAGTAAAACCCCTCCCGACCTTTTTGAAAAAGCATTGGGATGGGTCTACGGGAGAAGTATGTACCTCCCAACAATTGTTTCCTCCTTGGGACAAAAAAAAGTTCAGGAAAGTACAAAATTCTTGTAGTATTAATCTTTACCAATCACACTCAGAAAAAAATAAACAAAAAAAAAAAAACAAAAAAGGAAAATCAATCTCAAAATTTCCCAAACAAACCCTATTATATTAGACAGTTCCAAGTGTGATCAAAACAAACCCCAGAAATCGTTAAATCATTTATATGGTCAAAATTTGTAACAAAACTAACAAAATTCGAGAAGAAGAGCTAGAAGCTTTCTTTTTCTCTTTTTTCTTTTTTTTTTTTCTATTGTTTGCACACAACACTGGTTTTTAGTAGTTAAATAATAATATGAGTTACAAATACTATTTTGGTATATAAATTTTGATTCTTGATTGTTTCAACATGACCATATAATACAGTATATCATCTAAATTTCTTAAAATATAACCATAACTTCATCCTTCATCGAATTTGAGTTATAATTTTCCAAATAGGAACCAAAATAATCCAAACTTACCTGACTAAAATAAACAAAATTTTAAGATTAGAGGGAGGAGAAGAAAATACTTAATTACTTAGGTGAGAACCAAATCCACCACTGAAATTTTGAAATTTTTTAATCTCTGTTTTTGCATTTCTTGATGAGTACACGGAGCCAAATATTTTCCAGACAAAAATGAACAAAACTGTAATCCGTCGCACCAGAACACTATTTTAACCAATAATATAACTTCTCCTATCTGTTTTGTACAATTCCAGAAGCTGATAGTAAAAAACAGATATCATTCTAAATTTCTAATGAAGAAGAAGAAGAAGAATTTTAATTTTTTTATCTAAAAAAAAAGGAAAATTAATTAGCCTTCTTTTTGCTTGAGTTTAAAGCCTACAAATTTACAGGGCGAATACCTAATTTTATACTCCGAAATCGTCTCCAGTTTCGGCGACCACATTTGCCCTTTCGATCCAACAAGCTGGTCGTAATGCTTCTGCAACTCCGGCGTACTACACAAAAAACTACCTCCGCCGCCGCCGTCGCCGTCGCCGTCGCCAGGGCTTCCGGCAGCTGCCGCGGGAGAAACGAGGCTCATAATGAACTCCGGGACGACCTTAATCAGAAGTCTCCCATTCGCGCCCCGGAGATACTCAAACGGACACTCGCCGGAGAATTTGGCGGCGCCTCCACCCAGGGCGGCGAGTGATGACGTGGAGGGAACATCGGAGGGGAAGCGATCGATGGGGAGAACGAAGTAGGTGTGGCCAGCGAGGAGATGGTCGTCCATGGCCAAGGCGGGGAGCGGATGGCCGATGAAGAAGGAATCGGCGTGGCAGACGATCCGATCGGGAAACTGGAACATGATCTCGCCGGCGACGTGTTTTCCGGTGAGAATTCTGGTGGTGCCTTCGTAGAAGACGAGTTTCACGGAGGAGGAGGAGCGGCGGCTACAAGTAATAATTCTCCATCGCAGACAGCTGGGAGAGATCGAATTTCCCATATAGAGAGAGAGAAAAAAAATAAGGCTTCGGATCTGGGAGAGAGAGGGGATTTTATATAAAAGGAAAAAGTGGTATGAGAAGGTTTGTTTTTAGGGTAATTTTTTGAGGTCGGTGGTCAGTCAGCCATGCCGGCTTCGAGGATGTTAATCTCTTTGCAACATCAACAATCAACATGCTAGCTATGTTCATGGTATGCATAATGCAATTGCATCCTAATTTGATGATATGAGATCAAGTGGTAAAAAATTAAATTTATCGAGTTGGGATTCGAACCTACTAATTAACCCACAACTCTACTAATAGAAATATCTTGACCTACCTTAGTTATTGTGTTTAAGTGGGTCTGTATGATAGATTTGTAAATGTGTGTTGTAAGATCAAACGATTGTTTAAGTTTGTTCTATGAGGTGAGTGGAGATGTGGGTTGGGTGGTCTCGACACAGTTTCAACGGAGATGATGTGGACTTAAAAAATGGTGAAAATTCGAACTCACGATTTTTAATCGGAGATAGGTGGCTTAACCAGTTGGCTATGCTTAGATTATGGGACTTTAAAGAGTGGTTAAATTAATTGTATATCTTTTCAAAATAATTGTAAATATTAGTACTTTAAAAAATATATATCATTAATCACATGTCAAATGTAGCTAATATTTATCATGGGTTGATGTCACTTTAGTTGAATTGTCAATAGTAACGAATGATATATAATATAAACTTTATCAACCTATTCAAACTTTATAATCATTAATTTTAATTATAATTAACGTAATATTTTATTACATTATTATGTTAGATAAAAAAGAGAGCTTTGAACTTAGCCCTTTTTTAATGTAATTTTGAAGTTTCAACAACCTTTTCATTTTGCCCCATATGTTGAATATGGCATAATTAACATTTAAGGAATGTGTGAAAATTTCAGCCCTCTTATTTATTTATGTTTTTGCCAATAATATAATATAACAACTTGTTTTGTACTTTATCAGGCTGAGTCAAAATCAGATATATATATATATATATATATATATAATTGGCCCCTAAAATAGTTAAAAGCAAAGATAAGCAAAAGTTAGAAAATTCAAGTCAAACAATATTTAAGTAAAAAAGGGGTAGTGTTTGGGTTGATATTTAGTATTTTTCTAAAATGGAAAAATAAATATTAAATTCTTCAAAGATATTTCAATTTCCAATTTGATTTTTTTAGGGTTTACTTTTCTAATTTATTGTGGTTTTTATTAATGTGGGTCAATATTTTTCTGAATTACAATATTTTGGGCAATTTTGACATTGATCAAGTAGGAATATTATACCCATCTTGTGTGCTAATATTATGTGGTTGTAAATTTTGATCTCTTCCGAAAACCCTAATTTTCAAAATTAATGGTTGACATTTTTCGGTTTGATGATCAAATTGAAGAAAAATATTAAGAGGGTTAAACAAGTAGTTTTGGTCATTATGCGTCATTAATTTATGTAACGATTCAATATCTTTAGTTTGTAACGAAGGTTCTTTTGTAATTCCAAATTTATAACAATTTAGTCCTCCTATTTTAAATTTTGTAATAATTTAGTTTCTATTCTACAAAATGTTGTTAAGATTTGATAGGGTTTTCTTATATATGTAGATTGATAAACTGACGAGGAACCAATGATGTGTTTTATAAATTACAAAGACTAATTAAATTGTTATATAATAAAAATCGACAGTTAAATTTGGATGAGATTTTTCGTGGTACATAGGAACCAAAATTGTTACTAAGTTTATGACCGAAATTGTTACGTACTAAAGATGAAAATATGGCGGGACTAAATCGTTACAAACTAATTCAAAAACTAAATCGTTACTTTAATGAAAATATGAGAACCAAAAGAGTATTTTAAACTATTAGTTAGAATTTATTTTGAGTGAAAAATGTTAGTCTTCTATTCTTAAAAAAAAAATTATAATAATAATAGTCGTTGTTTGAAACCTTTCAAAATAATTTTCTACTATTAGTAGCTAGATGTGCAAAGAGAAACCGAATAATACCTACCAATGGGTGGTGGTATAGTGAGCGTTTGTGGTCGAGTGGGGATACCCCTCCCCAATTCGAACCTCACGGGATGCGTAGTCGGGGCTCTCCCTCACATTCGAGTACGAGTTCTATAATGTCGGTTACAGTGTTGGCTGTCTATTGGCACTCCCTAGTTATAGGTGATAATTCGACTGGCGAAGCCACACGACATCGATTTCGATTTATCAAAAGAGAGAAACAAATATTATACTAACTAAAACTTAAAAGTCCGCCAGTTGGTGTGGTTGAAATTTTGTTGGTTAATGTTTTGAGCTTTTGTAAAAATTAAGGGCACAGTTTGGAAACATTTTAATTTGTTTCTTATTTTCTATTTCTATTTTTTAATAAATAAAAATGTCGTTGCATGTGATAATTGTTTCTTGTTTCTTACTATTTCTTTTTCTATTAAAAAAAATATAGAAGCATGTTTGGTAACAATTTCTTGTTTCTTGTTTTTTAACATTTTAAATTAAAAGAAAAGTAATTTTTTATATGAAAATGAATTTTTTAAATCAAATATTCAATTAATTTTCTCTGTACTTTCTCTGTATTTCCTTCATTTTTTAGATGGTAATTTTGTCCTATGAGATTAGTGGACGTGCACATAACTCCAGTTCCTTCAGAAATGGTAAGATGTTTGGCACATAAGGTGGCCAAACCTTTAATGGATGCATTTTTATAGTTAAAGAGTGATAAAATAATAACAACAATATCAAATACGCCCTAATAATGTTTTCATCAATTTCAATTTAAGACTTCAAAAGAAACTTCCAGCGACTTGGTTTTTTATTAGATTTTTTTAAAAGTTTAAAAAAATAAATAAATAAAAACCATTTTTTAGTATAATAATAATAATAATTATTATTATTATTATTTTTTTTTTTTGAAAAATGGTACCATAATGTATGTGAGAGATAAACAAAAAGAAGCTCTTTTTATTTTTATTTTTTAAAGAGCACTCCAATTTCGAGGGTAATTCCTATGTGTTTCCTAGTATCAAATGTTATAGGATCAAGTTGTTGTCTCGTGAGATTAGTCGAAATACGCGTAAATTGGTCTGGATACTCATAGATATAAATATATATATATATACATAGAGGTAATTTAGACAGTTGAGATATGCATATGGAAATTTTGTGTGTTATTGAACAAGTATCTCCTTTAAAAAAGTATATACATTTCTATAACCACATTTCTTGTCACTTTCCTTTTATTTTAAAACTGAGTGTCAGCTCCATCTCAGGATAGTTCAATGGCCAGATATTAGTGCTCCTTTATGACTATATAAATTATAGACTCCAACTATCTCTTTATTTAAAATTGCAATTTTTTAAAGAGAAAGTGGGTCTTTTTGTTTTTTGTTTTTAGTTACTACAAACCACTTGTTTCCAAAATATATAAAATGAAATGAAATGATTTTTAATGAGTTTTCAAGATTTATTTTTTTATTTTTGGTTTAGTATCTTGTTTTTCGATTTTATATTTATGATGTGTTAATAACTATATACCTTTACTTCCAATACTTGTATAAATTAACCTTTCAATTATGGTTTTGAACCCATTTAGCTTTGCTACACTATATCACTCAACAAGATGTATTATTCTTGTAGGGTGTTGATTTTATTTTATCACGAGCTACTTGATTTTATAGCTAGATTCAACA